AGATGGTGAGGTGACTCGATGCGGTGGAAAAAGCACAGGGATCTACGCTCTTCCCTTAAGTTATCCCTGGTCTTTGGGTGGTCCCTTCCCTTCGATGTGTGAGCTGGTGAGTTCTATCCAGATCAAAGATTTTTTGTAAATTTTCTGTCCCATGACAGCTTTTCAGATTTCTGAAGATGGAGACCATGTCTCCCACCCTTCTCAAAAGTTTTCCCTTTTCCAGGATAAACAGCTCCAGTTCTATCAAATGATCCCCTTAGCTAGGATGGGAGTTCCTGTCCCCTCCTCAACCAGCTAATTCTCCTCAGTGGGGAGGGAGCGGCAGAAATCCTGAGCAGCCTTCCTCAGGCACTCAGAAGTGTCTGCCAAGAGGAAGGAAGGGAGAGGCCAACGTTGGACTCTCATCTTCTCTGTCTCTGCCCAGTCTTCCCCTTGACCTTGCAGGTACCCAGTTGCTCTTACTAGTGTCCCAAGCAGCAGGACCCCAAGCAGCCACTGACACATTTGGCAAGTCTTAGTGTCCTCCTGATTCCCTCTTGCCCACCTCACCAGGGCCTGAACTTCACAGAGCTGCAAGGAATTCTCCAGGAAGCAAGGCTACACCCAGAAGCTAGATCTTGTTCCTTTTCCTAAAGAACCCTGCTCCATGAGCAAGGTGGCCTTGATGATTTCTGTTTGGTTTGCCTGGCTTTATAGCCACCCCTCCTTCTGGAGCTACCTCAGCTTCTTCAGAGGTCAGGTCTAGAGAGCTCTGACAGAAGCTGATTTGGGGAAAACAGGATCTGTTTCCATTTAAGAAGTATGAGCTGGCCACCTTGAGCTCCCAAGGGTTGCTACAGCATCACAGGTGGATCTGGACTCCGCAGTGATCTTGGGTCAAACCCTGAGGCCTGGCCCAGAACCTCAGAGCCCTGGGACCCTGGCAAGCACTTCAGGAGATGACAGCATCAGCAGGAGTTTGCAAGTGAATGAGGCAAACCAGCCTCTTCCCGGTGGACCCCTTCCTCCTCCTCTTCAGGCTGCTGAGGAGCTAGAATGCTAGCCTCTCCCTGGGGTGGTCACCTGCTTCCTCTCCACCTGAACTCTAGGCTGAAGAGGAGGTGGATAGGGTAGGGAAGGGGCTGGGGAGCACAAGGTAACCTTGGCCTAGAAGAATGTGTAGAACAGGCACAGGACAGAGCCCCTTTCCTATCCAAAAGCCCAGTGATAAGGAAAGGAGAGGGGGCAGCTGGAGGCCAACAGTGGGAGGGAGAAGATTGCAGAGAATGTGCTGTGTCAGCCTTGTGCTGGGCCCTGAACTAACAACTCCCTCCCCTCCCCTCATGTCCTCTCCCTCCACCTCCCTCATCCCTCCTCCCTCCTCCCTCCCTCCCTTTCATCTTTTCTTCCTCCCTTCCTTCCCATTCTAGGTCTCCCTCACCCTTTCATTCTCTTTGTTTCTTTCTCTCTTTGTCTCCAACTCCTTCTGCAGGCCTTTTCTCACTCTCTGCCTGCCTCTCTCACTGATCTCCATGTGCCTTTGTTGCTCTTTCTCTACTCTACTTCTCTACCTGTGCCTTTCCCTCTTTTTGTTTGCCTTTCTCCCAACCTCTCCTTTTTTTTAAAGTATGTCCATCTCTCTGTGTCTCTGAGTGTGTTTTCTTCTAACTCATTTCTTTGTCTGTCTCTCTCTTTGTTTCTCTGCTTCTCCCTCTGTCTCTCTCCCCACCTGTCTCTTTCTACCTCTCTCAGTCTCTGTCCTGCCCCTTCCCCTGCCATCTCTTCCTCTGTCTCCTCCTGTGTGGCTCCCAAGAAGCTTTCAGCAGCTGGGAGTGTGAACCCCAGTCCCCCAGCTGGCCAGCTGTGACTCTGGGAGGGACCAGGCCCAGCGTTGAGAAGGAGGGAGACAGGGAAGGAGGAGGGCACTAGGCAAAGTTTGTCTAGGGGAGACAGGAAGGAAAAAAGCAAACTTTTGTACCATCTCTGATGAGCCAGGCATGCTACCAAGTGCTTTCACAAAGTCCTTTCTTTATCCTGTGATGGAAAAACTCTTTTATTTTCATTTTCCAGATGAGGACACTTAGTTTCAGAGAGGGAAGTGACTTGTCTAAGATCACACAGTGTGTCAGTGGCAGAGATGTTGGGATTTGAACCCAGGACTTTCTGCCTCCATTGACTACAGGGAAAGGCCCTGCTTTTTGTCTGTCTTGAGGCCACCCTCTCCCAGCCCTTGTGTGCCTCCACCCTATAGTTCTCTTTCTCTAGGATAATGGTCTTACACTCTCCTAGTTTAGGATTCACTTGAAGACCAACTGGAAAACAGGGCTGTTGAGGTTTGAGGTATCACAGTGAAACCACCCTGAACTGGTCCTCAAGGGAGAAACCCCCAGGGCCTCTCAGGGAGTCTTGGCTGAGAAGATGACATTTATTGGGTAACACAGTCTGAGCTGGAAGGACCCCTGTACTTGTCCTAGTGCAGCCCCTCTCACTGCACAGATGGGGACACTGAGGCCCAGAGAGGGAGAGTGGGCCCAGGCCACTTCAAGACATGCCCTTAGGGGAACAGGGACATTTGTAAAGGAAATCATCAGGGACTGGTTGAGTTTATATAAATAACATGGACATTCTATGCCAGCCAATCCACCCCCACCAAACCATCCACAGCCCAACTGCGGGCCAGACACTTGGGGAAGAACCTGGGGCCGGTCCTTGTGGCCAGGCCCTTCTCATCTCTGGGGTTCACTGTAGGTGGAGTCGGGCTCTCCCCAGGGCCCTTTGGTCTGTGGCCTTGAGCTTGCTTTATCCTTCCCTTGTGAGGGGCAGTGAGCACCAGCCCAGGCTGGCAGTGCAGCTGGTAGAGAAGAGAACTCTTTACTGAGACAGAGACCAAGGGAGACAGACAGAGAAGAATGACCCAGAAAGAGAAGGATAGAGAAGATAGAGACAAAGAAGGAGCGACAGAAAGTGTGATCAGGTTAGTGGGGCCGAGGGGCTGTGGTGGGCTTGGGGGTCAGAGAAGCACCAGTTTCACCCAAGTGCTCCACCTCCGCCACCCCCAAAGAAAGACTGTTCACACACCATCTCATTTTGTTCCTCACAACAGGCCTGGAATGTTGACAGGGCTGTGGTCATTGTTGCCCATTTACCAGAAAAGGAAACTGAGGTCCAGGAAAGCCATTTTTCCAAACTCTGGAGCAAAAAGTAAGCAGTAGACCCAAGGCCTTGAGCACACTTCTAATGCTCTTTGTCATTTTGCCCTTGTTCTGTTATGGGAGACTGTGGCATGGGGTTGCCCTGAAGAATTCTCAGGTGAAGAACAGGCAAGGTACAGAAGTGGGGAGCCAGATTCACTGGAGGGAATTAAAGGGAGAGAGAAAATGATTAAGGGAGAGGAGGGATTGGCTGTGAAGGGAAGATGAAAGGAGCCAGCAGACAGGGCTTGGCTCAAGGATGAGTCAGGCCAACAGCCTCCTGAGATAGTGATCTATGAATATCTCTGAGGTGTCAACAACCAGTAAGTTTCAAGGAGAAGGAGGAGAAGGAAGAGGAGGAAGAGGAGCAGAAACACAGCTGGAGCAGGAAAAGAAGGAGAGGGTTGGAAAATGGAGTTTCTTGGCCTGTTATTGTGGGGACACCCACCTTGAGAATATCCTGGAAGAGGCAGGCTGGGCCAAGGGGCAGGGCCTTGAAGGGTTGCAGGAGACCTTAGGATGAGTCCCCTCCGAAAGGGTGCTGACCTTCTCCCCAGCTCCTCCCATGGAGTAGGCAGGACACTGCTTATTTTCTGTCCCCCACCTCAGAATGGACCCTGTACCAACTTGAGTCTCTTCCATCTCTAATACAACTGATTCTAAGAGCACACACGGCATATTCCCATGTCTGGGCTTGATGATCCATCTCTGTGAACTGCCTCAGGCCTGCTCAGTAGCCTAAGGGTAGGGGTTGTGGGGAGCATGGGCTCACTTTCCCAGGCCTCTCCCCTCCTGTCTGCCCAGGGCCCAGGTGCTGGGAGGCCTGGGCTGCCAGAGCAAGGCATAACCCCTTTTCCTCAACTCAGAAAAGAGGTCACACAGAGATGCCACCCACAGAGGGCAGGGTCCAGTGCTGGGACTCACATTCACATACCTTTCTGGGCTCTGCCCAGTGTCCCGATGAGAGGGCCTGGGGCACCAACCCTGCCTTAAGCAATTGTGGAAGCTGAAGCTCAAAGAGGGAAATGATGTTTTAAAAAATGTTGCCTGGAAAAAGTAGAAGAAATGGGACTGAAGTCACTCTTCTTGAAGGGTTAGAAATATTGTTCTACTCCACCCCCACTAACCCATGTGTATACAAACCTCTCACACAGGGACACTCACATATAAATGCAGGCATCTCTGCTTCACTACCCCTGGAGTAAAATGGGACCCAGAAAACCCTGGTATGTTTCTTTCCAGGTGGTAGCTCACTGCTAATACAGCTCTGCAAAGTTAGTGCTCATGATTCCATTTCACAGATGAAGAGATTGAGGCTTAACATGATGAAGTGACTCCCTGATGCCCTCAGGTCTCGAAAGTAATAGAGAGGGCCTTCAGACTCAGGTGTGTCTGTGTGCAGAGCCCGTGGTCCTTGGGGCCTTCAACAGGGGTGAGGATTCTACAGCTTCTTCCTTCCCTCCCTGTCTACTTTGGTTACACACTCAGCCCCTCAGGAGGTTATCTTCTGGGCCTTCTTTGAAGCCCCACCATCTGGGGAACTGAGGCCAGACCAGGTGTGGTAGCAATGGGGAGGTGCCCTATTTCTGTTGTTCCTGAGAGTAAGACAGCAGCACTTCCTATCTGCCCCTCTTATCTCCCTGCTGGGAGGGAGTTGTGGGGGAAGCTGGGCAGCCCCTTCAGAGCAGCCAGGCTAGGCCTTCCCACTTGCAGCCTGGAATCCCCACATTGGAGACACCCTGGCACAGCCTACACTGGATACCAAGTGGCTGTGAGGCCCTGGAGTGAAAACAGAAGGATGGGGGGTCAGGAACAGTGGGAACTGATCACCTGTTATAGAAATAACTCCTGTGTGCACAGTGCTTCTCAGTCTTCAAAGAGCTTCCAGGGACCTGCCATGCAGACCTCAAATCTGGAAAGGAGGGAGAGAAGAGGGATTAGTATCCTGTTATCCACACGAGAAAAATGAGGACTGGAAGATTGCAAGATGGTGGCAGATTGAGTAGAAGCAACCTTGACACTCTCCTAGGACCAAACTGGAATTACAACTAAAATATAGAAAAATCATCCTGAATAATCAACTGAAGACTAGTTGGAGAGAACCCTTATAACCAAGGACATAAAGTGGAGACTGCGTAGAAACTAATAGGAAGTGCAGAGGCAAGAGAGGGCTGACTGGGCTCCCACAGGCAGCAGCTGAAGGTCTGGGGGAGTATCTCAGATGTGGGGGGTTCCCACTGAGAACTTTGGGGTCTAAACCCCAAGCTGCACTTCCTAGCCCAGAGCACCAGAACTGAGAAAGGTACCCACATAACATCTGGCTGTGAAAAGCAGCACAGTTTCTGTCTGCCAGGGAGAGAGGGCCAGAAATGCAGGCACCCTATTAAAGGGCTAATGCACAAAGTTTTGTGTGCAGCCACTCACCTAGGGCTCTGGCAGAGGGAGGGCATAGCCGACTAAAGCGCTGTGAGGTGAATCTAGGGATGCTGGCTCTGGGGATAGAGCTCCAAAGCATCTGTCCAGATTCCTGTGCTGAGTCATTCCCCCATACGACACAGGACATCTTTCTCAGGAAGACATTTACCATCCAAACAGCTTTTGCCTGGGGGGGGGAGCAATTTTTCCACCCTGTTGGAAAACCTCTTGCCCCACCATGTGGAGCTTCTACAGCCTGAGGCTCATGAAGAGACTGAATAACAATTAGCCTCTGGGTGCTTTGAGTCTTTGTCTGATTTGTTTCTGGACTGAGGGCTTAGAAAAACAGACTTTGGTGCATACCTTGGTCCTAATTAAATGTATCCAGCCTCAGCAGAGGGAACCAAAAGCTGTGAAGTGCAAAAAGGTTCAAACAGGGTACTCAAGGCCAGTCACAAACAGTGTCTGGCATAGGCCTGCTACCAGAGACTATCCAAAAGACTGAGAGTCCTAGCAGAACTACTTAATATATAGAAACAAATCCAAACAGGCAGACAAAATGTTGAGACAAAAAAACAAACCCCAAATGAAAGAACAAAAAAATTCTCCAGAAGGAGAGATAAATGAAATTAAGATAAGTAATCTATCAGATATAGAGTTCAGAATAATGATCATACGGATGCTCAACAGCATGAGAAAAGATATGGAAACTATGAAGGAAATTAAGAATGACATAGTAGAAATAAAAAAAAACACAAAAAAACATTAGAAGAAATAAACAGCAGATTAGGGGAAGCTGAGGATTGGATCAGTAAATTAGAAGACAGGGTAGAAAAAATGACTCAATCAGAGAACGGAAAACAAAACACAATTAAAAAACATGAGCACAGCAAGAAACATAACAATATTCACATCATAGAAGATGCAGAAAGTAAGCAAGAGTTAGAGAACCTGTTTGAAGAAATAATGGCAGAAAACTTCCTTAATCTGGTGAAGGAAAAATTCACACAGGTTCAGGAGGCACAGAGAGTTCTAAACAAGAACCCAAAGAGACCCATGCCCAGACACATAATAATTAAAATGCCAAAATTCAAAACAAAGAGACAATCTTAAAGGCAGCAAGAGAAAAGCAATCTGTTACCCACAAAGGAACTCCCATAAGGCTGTCAGCTGATTTCTCATCAGGAACTCTACAGGCCAGAAGCGAATGGCATAAAGTAGTCAAGGTAATGAAAAGAAAAGATCTGCAATCAAGACTACTCTATCCAGGAAGGCTATCATTCAAAATAGATGATGAAATAAAGAGCTTCCCAGGCAAAAAACAAACAAACAAACAAAAAAAAACCTAAAGGAGTTTATCACCACCAAACCAGAATTGCAAGAAATTGAAATAGAAAGAGAAACATAGGCATAAAGAATTAAAATGGCGCCAGGCCGAGCGTGGCTCAGCGGTTGAGCGTCAACCTAGGATCCAGGCAATCAGGGTTTGATTCCCGGTCAGGGCACATGCCCGGGTTGCAGGCTCGGTCCCCAGTCGAGGGCATGCAGGAGGCTGTCGATCAATGACTCTCTCATCATTGATGTTTCTATCTCTCTCTCTCCCTCTCCTTTCCTCTCTCTGAAATCAATAAAGATATATTAAAAAAAAAAAAAAAAAAGAATTAAAATGGCAATGGATAAGTACCTATGAATAATGACCTTAAATATAAATGGATTAAATGCTCCAATAAAAAGACATAGGGTAGCTCAATGGATAAAAAAACAAGACCCAAATATATGCTGTCTACAAGAGACAAACCTCAAAACAAAAGACTCACATATGCTGAAAAAAAAACAAAATAAAACTACTTTTGGAGGACTTTAAGAGAGAGATCTACAACATTATAGACATATTAGGAGACTTTAACACCCCACTGATTTTACTGGTTTGATCTCCCAAACAAAAAAATCAACAAGGAAACAATGACCCTAAATGACACACTAGATCTAATGGATTTAAATGACATTTACAGAACATTTCATCCCAAAGCTGCAGAATATGCATTCTCCTCAAGTGCACATGGGACAATCTTAAAGATAGACCACATGTTAGGGCACAAAAAAAGTCTCTACAAGTTCAAGAAGATTGAAATCATATCAAGCATCTTCTCAAACTTATACAGCACAAAATACTATGCAGTTCAAAAAGAAGAATCCCTTTCCCTTTGAGACAGCATGGTGGAAACTGGAGAGTATTATGCTAAGCAAAATAAACCAGTCAGAGAAAGACAAGTGTCACATGATCTCACTCATATGTGGAATCCAATGAACAAAATAAACTGATGAACAAAATACGTCCAGAGACATAGAAGCATGGAA